TTTTCTTTGCATCTTTCTAAAAATGCATATTTAACCACATCAGTGTTAAAAAAATTTTTAGCAGCTCCACTGCCCCAGCAGGTTTCCCAAAATGTGAGGAACTACCTGGCACTCAACATATGACATGGTACATCACACACAGCATTAAGTGGCAGGAACCACAACACAATAAGTCATTCACTTTCCAATTCTCCAAACCTTTTCATTAGGTTAAGGAGAAAGTCTCTACTTGCTGCCATCTTTATCTTCTGAACACTTGATAATCTCTTAATGAGAGGAGACTTTCACTGGCAGCAGTTTTTGCTAAAATTTTTAAACTATTTTTTGTTTTCATTGTATTTACTATAAGGTGAATATAAAGGTTACCTTCTGTAATACTAATTCTTCACTTTAAGAAAGTGAGATAATGTTTCCTTTTAAAATAAATTAAGCTGGAAAAGTGAGGGGATTTAATTATTACGTAAACAATACTTCAGGTATTATTAAGAACCTTTGGTAATATTTTGAAGATGATAAACAATGAATTAAATCTAAAAAAACAATGTCCTATAGCTTAAAATTAAAATTTCTTTCTCTGTATGGTTATGGTAATTTCAAAACAAGTCATCAAAATGATATTCCTCTCTCCTTGAACTAGGCAGGCCTTTGTCACTACCTCAAGGAACACAATGTGGTCTATGTCAGGATGCGTGTAACTTCCAACACTAGGGGAAATAAAAGCCATGCAACCTCTGCCTGTGTCTCTAGGGGCATTTGCTCTCAGGTTGTGAGCCACCTCATAATAACTCAAGTAGCCCTGATGCTGCTAAGCAAGGGACCATGTGGAGCAATAACTACCGGGGTGGGCGGTAGTGAGAGAAAGAAAACTGTGAGAGAAAAGAAAGAGCAAGCAAGTGAACTGAGGACCCCCAGAGGCTCCAACATTCCCAGTTCACTTGCCACACATGGAGGTCTGAAAGCATTCAGATAACTGCAGCCCCAACCTAACCAACTAAAACTACATGACAGGACCCCAAGCAAGCCACCCAGAACCAAGAGATAATAGTAAAACAATTGCCAATATGTTTGGGGGTAGGGTTTGGTAGGCAGGACACTGGTAGATCCAGCCTGTCAAGAGCTCCCCTTGACTCTCATCTTGACTCTCCTCACTCTGCCCTGACTGTTCAGAAGTTCCCTGCCCCACCATGACTGAATCAACCCTTTCCTCCCAGAGCTGTGTCTGCAGTGGCCCAGATCCCACTGCAGTAAACTGGTCTTTGATATGCCTCGTCCACCAAACAATAATGTCCGGTGATGGACTGTATGTCACCATGCAGCTGTCCCTGAAGGGGCCTAATGAATGTGGATCTGAATCCTTTCTCCTTCTGCTTCCTTACTTCGCCCATTTCCTTAATATTTCTGTCTAAGCTCCTGGTTAAAGGAGCAGAAATACTGCCAGCTCAGTTCTATTCTCCTCAAGTCTCTCAAATTCTGTCAGTTTCAGAATTCTATTTATACTCTGATTCTAAGGATTTCTCTTCTGGGTTCATAACCCTCAGGAAGGGCAACCCTAGGCTAACCCAGCACTAAAAGTTGCCTTTTAAAATACAGTCAGGCCACAGCCAGGCACGGTGGTGGCACATCTGTAATCCCAGAGACTTGAGAGGCTGAGGCATGAAAGGAAGACTGCAAGTTCAAGGCCAACCTGGGCAACTTAGGGAGACTCTGTCTCAAAAATTTAAAAAAATAAAAATTTAAAAAGTTAGGGACATAGTACAGTGGTAAGCACCCTAGGTTCAATCCTCAGTACTCCCTACCCCAAATAATAATAACATAAAACAAAATATAGTTAAGTGGAACCCGATTAATTTAATGTTATAAAGTCTTCAATAAACAGTATTCTTCTTTCTTTTCTCACTTCAAAAATCTGAAACTGACCAAATTATGCTATTACATGTATAAATATACCACAGTGAATTTCACCTTTATGTGTATTTATAAAGCATCGATTTAAAAAATAATAATAAATAATATAAGGAGAACTGTAGACTAGAAGAAGGCAAACTGGGGGAGGGAGGAAAAGAAGAAGTACTAGGAACTGAAATGGAGCAAATCATAATCCATGCATTTATGATTATGTCAAAATGAATCCCACTATTATGTATGACTATTTAAAATCTGCCTTGATCTATCCTCTAAGCAGCCACATTTCTTCACATCTTCCTGCTCTTCCCCTCTTATAGTCACACCTTTTCAGGGTCTTACTACTCCTTGGGACTTTGACCCACTGACAATTCTGTCACTATGTCCCTGATGTTCACCTATGTTCCCACTTAAGCCAGGATGAGTTCATCAAACCAGGAATGATTTAAGAGAGAGGATGTGTCACAATATCTAGGCCTAGTGTTAACACGACTCAATACAGGATTTACTTCACTGTGAAGTTCTTCCTAGGGAACTGATACAATGATTCCCCAACATTAAGAAAAGTATCACAAAAAATTCAACTCAAAAGCCATGAAGGGGGTAAAAAAACACCATAAAGGAAAATATCATTCTTTTGCCTATATAAAAATTAAAAACATGTGAAATGCAAAGAATTGGCATAAACAAACTCAGAAAAAAAATTTAACTGGGGGGAAAACATCAGTAACATATATGCCAGAGTCCTAATGTAATATGTATGTAAAATTTCTTACAAATCTACAAAATAATAATAACAATAATAACCAGGGGCTTGGAATGTAGCTCAGTAGCATAAAACTTGCTTAGCATGTATGAGGCCCTGAGTTCAATCCCCAGCACCACCACCACCAACCCCCCCCAAAAAAAAACAGAAAAATGAACAACATATTTGAGAGAAAAAAAAATTGCAAAAGAACAGAAACAAGTGCCAATAAGAATTAAAACAGACAAAATTTCACTAATAATTCAAGAAATCCTAAATAAAGTAACAATAAGAAATGTTTTTTCACCTATCAGATTGGCAAAGCTTAAAAATATTTAGCTGGGCACAGTGGTACACACCTATAATCCTAGCAGCTCAGGAGGCAGAAAGCCAGCCTCAGCAAATTATGAGGCCCTAATCAACTTAGTGAGACCCTGTCTCAAAATATTTTTTTTCAAAAGGGCTGGGGATGTGGCTCATTGGTTAAGCTCTTTGGGGTTCAATCCCTGGTACCAAAAAGAAAAATTTTAAATACTCACGTTGGCAAGGGTGTGGCAGAAACAACACCTTTATATACTGCTGATGAGAATTAAGTTGATGCAACTTCTTTGGCAAACAGTTTGGCAATATTTATTAACATTTTAAATGAGCATACCCTTTGATCATCAAATCTTCCCTTCTAGGAATTTTGTCTAAGGAAATGCAAGTACTAGAACACATGGCAAAAACAGCTGTGTGCTGCTGTTCGTTGCAGCTCTTTTATAATAGGAAAAACTGGAAACAACTCAAATGTCCATCATTAGGGGTTTGGTTAAATAAATTATGATACATCCATCTGAAGAAACACAATGTGCTGTTCAAAGTAATGTACTAACATGGAAAAATACCCTCGGTGAATTGAAAAATACCCTTGGTAAAAATTTTCAGAGTAGAGCATGATCTTTCTTTCCTGTATTAATACAAACCTTGCCACTTCAACCATTAAGTGTACAATTCTGCGACATTAATTACACTGACAGTGTCATGCAGCCTTCACCAATGTTTCAAAAACCTTTTCATCATCCCCAAAACTGCGTCCGTTAAGCAATAATTCCCTATTCTCCCCTCTCCAAGCTCCAAGTAACAGAGAACTTTCTTTCTCTATAAATTTGCCATTTCTTAATATTTTATTTCAGTTAGGCACAATGTTTTCAAGGTTCATTCATGTTGCATATCAAAATTTCATCCTTTTTATGGCCAAATAATATTCCATTATTTGTATGTATACATCACATTTTGGTTTTTTACACATCTAGAAGTAGAACAGTTGGGTTGTTTTCACTTTTTGGCTACTATGAATAATGCTACAGTGAAGACCGGCATTCAGATATTTGAGTCTGTTTTCAATTCTTTGGGGTGTGTAGCTAGGAGCAGAATCACTGAATCATAGGGCAATTTTAGATCACAGGGTAATTTTTAAAGCGGTGGCCAAAGTATTTTCCATAAAGCTGTACCTCTGACGTTTCTACCTCTAAAGTGTCTGAGGGTTCTAACTTCTCTATATCCTCACCAATGTTTATTATTATTTTCCATTTTTTATTAGAGTATGATATTTTTGTAAAAATTAATATATCTAAATGTATCATTAAAAAATATAACAGTAATTCTATTTCTGGAGCATGGGTTTTCTAGAAGAGGCACATTTTCTACCTTCTGTATTTTCTCATGGGTTGCTTTAATTACTTAAAAAACAAACAAAAAAAAAAAAAAACGTGTTAGGAAAAAAAACTTAGCCTGAGACAACTTCATGTTTCAGCTTGCTGAGCTGAGACACACTGTAGTGCTTGTGTTACTACACAGCAGAGCCTTAATCAGCACAAGTGGAAAGCCCTGAGTCCTAGCCCTCACTCTGCCATCATGAGTCCTTAGGTTTCTGAGGCCCCTGGGACTAGTTCCAAGTTCCCAACTAGTGTGCCAAGAATGGGTTACAATTGTGTGGATGTATGGACTCCTCCAATCCTGGGGGAGCACTGGGGATAGGAACCCCAGGCTGGTTGTGCTGGTTGTCTCAGACTAGCAGCAGCTGCCTCCTTTATCCCGGTGTGTCTAACAATGTTTAGACGAGGCAACACTGGGTCAGGCAACCTTTAACACTCCTTCCTACATGGCAACAGAATTCTATAATTACACTGGATAATGAGGGAAGCTAAAGAAAAGAAGAGCCAAGGGGAAAACCTGAGAGTCGCTCACCACACCACGAAGAGAAGAATGATGATCCTCCCCCCAAAGGGAGAAGCAAGACCAGGAAAAGATTAAATAGCTGAGAATGCCAAGGAAGTGAGGGAAGCTTATATTACTAACCCAAGGGTCTCACCTGAAGCCGCAGCCACTGAAGTAGAAGGCAAAGGGCAGTGCCTGGAGCCATGCTGCTCAGAGAGAAACATCCCAAGGTCGCCTGCTTGGGCAGCAACAAGTAGAAAACTTGACCTCTGTGGGAAGAGGCACTGAAATCCTCTCTTCCAGGTGTTCTCAGCCTTTCAACAGCCAACTGTGGACTTTGCCCTTGAAATTCAACTCCTGCGCTAAAGAGATAATCTCCCAGGCATGTCCTGTGTAAACTTGGCTAATCAAAAGAACACAACTGAAATGTTGGGCTTGCTTTCAGTTCTTCAAACAGCCTTGCCAACCAGGAGGCTATGCTCAAGGACGGGGGACAAGAGGGGGTCACTTTTCATGGCACAAATGTCACCTATCCTAATGGTATAAAGTGCCCCACAATGGGTATATTTCCAAAAATGTGAAAAGCAGCTGTTCAGAAATACACATCTGGTAACCTCGCCTGGAAGTGATGGGAAGAGTCACTGTGAGTAAGGGCACAGACCTTCACCAGGTTTTGTGGATGTTATAGGGCAAGCCACCCAACAACTGCTGAAGCGTAGACTCAACAGACATGAAATTCTAGGTTAGTAGAAGAACGCCAATTAACATCTGGCTCTCAACCTCCTTTTGCCTCTTAGCTGCCAAGTCTCTTAAAGAGTGGTTCTCAAAGTGAGGTTCCTAACCAACAGTAGCAGCATCAATTACAAATTTTCTTACTTTCATTTTCCTTCTCTTTTGTGGGGGATAGAGGGGCAGATTAGAGCCTCTCTATATTGGCAAAGCTAGCCTCAGACACTCGATCTTCCTGCCTCAGCCTCTCAAGTAGCCGGGATTAGGCAATTAGGCTGAGGATGTGGCTCAGTGGTTAAGCTCTACGGGGTTCAATCCCTGTGCCACAGACCACTGCATTTTCCAAATTTGTTAAAAACGCAAATTCTCAGGCTCCACTTCAGACTTATTAAATCAAAAACTAGCTCTCCAGGTTTGGTGCATATTCAAGTCTGAAAACCACTGTTCTAAGCCTCCAGGGAATTCTGCAATCTGGAGTTCAGACCCCCACCCAATTTCCCTATCTTCCATTCCAAATGAAATTTGAGAGAATAAATATCACCTCTGTAGTGAAACCTAAAGAGATAAACTAGATTCCTTCCACTTCAGAGGTCTTACAGTCCTCCACATGATCTTACAGCTTCTTTTCTACAAACCAAAACCTAATGTGTTCCTTTCCTGCTTTCAGAAGAGTAGTGTTTCCTTAAGTCCTGGATGATTCAGGCCCTTTTAAGTTTTGACCTCAGCCCATCTTTTCAGTCTCATCCCCTAACTAAAATCTCTATGTCCCTGCTCATGGTAAATCTGCTCAGTAAGTCAGTGTTAAAAAATAATCTGGAGGCTGGGGCTGTAGCTCAGTGGCAGAGCGCTTGTCTAGCATGTGTGAAGCATTTTGACCCTTAGTACCATATAAAAATAAATAAAATAATGTCTACAAGCAACTAAAACTTTAAATAATAATAATAATAATAATCTGAAAAACACCCTCTCAAGGAATCTTCTAGCCACAGATCTTTTCCTTCAGAAGCAAAGTAGTTAAAAAAAAAAAAAAAAAAAAAACAGAGATGGGGAGACAGGAAAGTAGAATTCAATTGCCAAATAAATTCCTCTCTGGGTCAAAAACCTATGCTACATCTGAAATTCAATCTCACCCTGCTCTGCTCTTCACAAACGATTCCATCTCAGCAGCCTCTCAGATCTCTTGAACACCAAGGAATAAGAATGTATAAATAAATGCCCTGCACATTTTCATTTCAGAAACATGGACCCTGATTTACAGGATCAGTCCCTTTAGAAAAAGAAGTATCTACTATAGAAACTAGTCAGTGTTCAATTTCCATGAAGTCAAAGTTGTGGCCTGATAAATTTCTTTCCTCAAATATTTCCAACAAAGTTGGGAGACTCTAGAAGAGATCTATAAACTAGAAAATCAGGATTTATTTACAAATGCCAGTTTATTGACAAATTACTTTTCTCCAAAACCAAATTCTATCTTCATTTTTTTAAATACTTTTTTAGTTGTATATGAACCCAATGCCTTTACTTTTTTTTAATGTGGTGCTGAGGATCAAACCCAGTGCTTCACATGTGCTAGGCAAGCGCTCTACCACCGAGCTACAACTCCAGCCCCAAATTCTATCTTCTTAGTATAAAAATATTCCATGTTCTTACTATGTAAAATAGGAGAAATCTAACTACTTGTAGAATTATTAATGTGAAGACCATCTTGCTTCCTGCCCAGATTAAGGGAGGTAATTCAGGTACTGGTTTCCAAGTTTTGCCCCGCACATACACACTCTCCTGCTTTTGATATGGACTGGCATTCTCAGTATTTTAACCAGAAACTCCCTTCAGAGAAACTGGAAAATAACTCATCCAATTCTACATTCCAAAGCTACTGTAGCTTCCAGTGAACAGAAAGGAAGATATGAAAATAAATAAATAATTCAGGGGAAAAAATCAATAAATGTTTAGATAACTAAGAGGAGCTGCATTTGCTATCTCAGAGTTTGGACACAGAGAAAGCATATGCTTTGGAATCACACAGATTTAGTTTTTTAAGTAAGTTAGTGGCTCAGAGTTCCTATAGATATTAGGATATCAACAAATTCACCCATAGATTGTCATGAGAGTTTACTAAACAACACAAATAAAAATACCTAGTATAACATGATTCCTAGAATTAGTATTCTCCTAATGATATACCAGAAACCTAAAATCTTCAGAAAACTATATAACATACATTGCTCAATCCCACAAATTAGCAGAATATGTTCAATCAAATTGTTAGCTGACGGCCACATGGCTATCCCTACTCTAATTAGCTTGGATCCCCCTAGTCTTTCTCTTAACTCTTCTCAATCAGTTCAGTATTCCTCTTAGCTAGCCATTCCTCTTAAATTTCCACATTTTATCCCCTAGTTGTGCCACAGACCTAGAATATGTACCTCTCTCTGTGACAATGGCCAAAAGGCTCTGTCTGAACCAGGCTCTCCTTACATCTCACACCCTACCTCCACCTGCTCTCTCTGTTTACCAATGAGGACTTCCTATTCACATGTCAAGTCTTTCCTACCTCAGGGGCTTTGCCTTGGCTGTTTCCTTCTTAGAAAGGTACCTTCTCCAAATCTACACATTCATGCATTCTTACCCTTGAGCGTGCACTCAAACATCATATTCATAGAAAGACTTTCTCTAACCTCTCAAGTCCCTGTTACTCTCTTACATCACCATTAGTCCCTCACATCACTATCTTTATCTCAACTATTGATTTGTAGACTGAAAGGGTTTCCCCACTATACATTAAGCTCCATGACAAGGGCTTTTCTATCTTGGTTATCTCTACATCCCTATTATATAGAAATAAAGTCAGAACAGAATGGATACTAAAATATTAATTGAATGAATAAGTAAATTCAGTTTTCTGAAACAAGAGAGGCAGAGGTGGCTCCCCCTCTTCCTTCTCTAACTACTGGTAACAGTGGAAAATGGGATCCCAAGGAAAGACTGTAAATTAGAAAGAGAAAAGGCAGAAGGTAAACCCTTAGGGAACAGCAACAAATAAAGTCATCCTAGACAACCCCACCCCTACCCCCGACAAAACATCAACTGCTATCAGGGGAGGCTCACAGGTGCTACAGTCTCAAGGGTTTTTTGCTTTAAACTTCTTCAAGTGAGGGCATGGAGACATCTGACTTTGGGATTTTCAGGGGAAAACAAGCCTGGATAGCATAGCTTTTGAAACCCACCTGGATTTACCAAACAGTTGTGAGTTATGAGACTGGGAGGTGAGAAGGCTTCTTTAATTCCGTTTAATGAGATTTACATAGAACAAAAATTTCCAGTTGTTTTCTTTTTAACGTGATCCCTGCCACTTCCCCTTGGGTACTTACTCAGAAGTGAGTTAACAAAACCCACAGCCCTTCTTACAACCAGGATTCTCACAGCTGGCTCTCCCAGCAAACTTGGGCTGTAACCCAACCCTGAGCAGCAGTGATGACTCATACCCAGAGAGGCCCATTATGCCCAGTCCATTCTGCCAGAAACCAAAGGGTGAGAGAATGGGGGAGTGGGGTGTGGAGGGACATAAGGAACTTCTGTACTTTGTTTCCTTACTAGAACCAAAGCCTTTATTCTCTAAATACAGAAGCTGCGTTAATCAAGCCAAGGAATGCAAACCAAGGTCACTGCCATTGCCAAGATCATCTCCACTGTCCTAAGTATTTTACTGTCACACTCATGTATCCCACTTTTTTATAGATACAGGGTCAGCCACATTAATTTCCTTTCTCTATTTGCATTCCTTTTTGCCAAGTGACGAAGTATATAGACACATGTGTCTTTGTCCCCACATCTTTGAAAATGAGTATAGAGTCCCATGTGCAGTTTCTAGTCTTTGTCATCTTTTAATTATTGCATCAGAACATATGGTAGGTCATAAATTACGAATAAACTAACAGGATAGAGACTCTGGTATAACTCTATGCCAAGGAAACTTACTTCTAGTAAAAAATAGGAGGTATAATGTTGGTGGCTATGAGTATCATGAAGGCTGAGCTTCTTCTGATTATATAGGAAGCTACTATGGAATCTGAGCCAGTCTATGGAAGTCCACAGAAGTAAAACTACAAAAGAAACAAAAAAATCTTAACCTAATCTGCAGAGTCTTCTAAAGCAAAAAGAGCCTTAAATTTTAAACAGCCTCTCACTCAAAGAGAAACTCTGTGAAGCACCTACTCCAAAGGACTCCCATTCGGCCTTAGGCCTGCCAGGGTTCAGCAGGCCCATAAATTGGCACTGTTGATATGACCTTTCCAGGCTATATGTCAACAAGAGATAACAACAAAGCTGAGAGCTTTGGTAGTACTCAAAGGAGATTTGAGGGACTTAAAACACTGCTAAATTTGGCAGCAAAAGTTTCTGTTCCTTGCAGTTGGAAAAGAAAATCTGTTAATAATAATTACACTTGTAGATAAGAAGCTAGTCACTCTCTTTCGAAATAGATTAGAGTTGGGCACAGTGGTACATGCCTGTAATCCCAGCTACTTGGGAGGCTGAGGCAGGAGGATTGCAAGTTCAAGGTCAGCCTGGACAATTTAATGAGACCCTGTCTCAAAATAAAATAAAAAGGACTGGGGATATAGTTCAGTGGTAGAGTGCCATGAGTTTAATCCCCACTACTACAAAAAAATAAAATAAAATAAAGAAATAGATTAGAACCCCCTTATCCTGATCCCCCATCCTCAGAAGTGTCAGAGTAATCATCACTGGGCAACTACCACCTAGGGCTAGTATAAAATATAAGATGTTTCTTGGAGAGATAAAGTGCCAGGAGCCTGTCCAGATGTTGCTTACTGTCTTAGTCACAACTACTTGCCACTCTTCAATACCTAGACCTAAGTTACTGAGGCTAGTCTTAAATTCGTGAGACTCTTGCTTCAGCCTCCAAATCACTGGGATTACAGGCATGTACCACCATGCCCAGTTAATACCTTCAACTTTCTAGAAGAAGAAACAAAGATAGATAGAGAAGCTAAGTTATTTACCCCAAGGTCACACAGCTAGTCAGAGATAGAGCCAGAACTAAAATTCAGATCTATTGACTAACTGCTGTACGTCAGTGGAGAAAGTTCTAAGACGTAAAAATCACTAACAGCAGCAGCTATTAACATTTATTGAGAGCATATTTGGGTCCAGAACTAAGCTGAGTGATTTACATGAATTAAAAGTCATTTTACCCTTACATCAACCCTTCAAGATAAGTAAGATTATTACTCCCAATTTACAGATGAAGATATTGAGGCTTAAGAGTTTTAACTTGCCAGAAGTCTACAAAAGTAAGAAAAGCTAGACTATGAGACTATGAACTGCCAGAGCTGGCTGGAGAGCCTGTGCTCTACACTGGGTCTTGAAGGATACATGGGTAGTATTCCCAGAAGCAGAGGTGAGCCAGGTGCTGCAGGAGGAGGATGGCAAGTTCAAAGCCAGCTTCAGCAACTTAGGCCCTAAGCAATTAGCAAGACCCTGTCTCTAAATAAAAATACAAAAGAGGGCTGGGGATGTGGCTCATTGGTTAAGCACCGCTGGGTTCAATCCCAGGTACCAAAAAAAAAAAAAAAGAAGAAGCAACAGCAGAGATGAGGAAGCCTACTAGGGAAAAGTGTGTGTCCAGAGCACTGAAAGCAGTGTACAGGGCCTCCGACACAAGGTTAAGGAGAATCTCAGGGGCCCTGCCTGGGCTGGCCAGCAGGCAAGAAGCAGTTCTGGAAGGGTCTCCCCTGCCTGTGGAGGGGAGTATCTCAGAGGAAGATGAAGTTGCACCTGTGAAGCAAGGTTGAGAAGAACTACTGCAGAGACCCTCCTGGAATCTTCACAGAAAGAGGGACAAAATACAAAGTATACCTGACTTCTATAAAGAAC